GGGGGATGTGGGGAGGACCCGGGGGGGGGGAAGTTGAGAGGGGGCCGATCTATGGGGAGACTGGGGTGGTTTCAGGGGGGCTGAGGTGGGGGCGCTGCCGAGGGTGGGTTGGCGGACAGAGGGGCGGGGTTGGGGGTGGATTCGGGGGGGGCAGAGTTACTGGGGTGTTCTGGCCCAAAGAAGGGGGGCTGGGGGCATCGCCTGTGGTTTGGGGCAGATCTTACAGGGGGTTGTGGGGTGACTGAGTGTGGGGGTCCTGGGGATTTTGGGGGGCTGTGGGGCTCTCTGCCGGGGCCAGCCGTTATGGGGTGCTGTTTAGGGAGGGCTGAGATGAGCGGGGATACTGAGGGGGCTGAGATTGGGGGTGACCCTCAGGCAGCGGGCGGAGCTGGGAACGGCTGTGGGGGTGTTGCAGGATTTGGGGGTGGCCCAGAGGAGGTCGCTGGGTTGTTTGGACACCGAGGGAGGGTATTGGGTGGGGAGCAGGGCGGCTGGGAGCCAGGACTCCTGGGTCCTCTCTCTGGCTCTGGATGGGGGCTGGGTGTGGTGGGTTGGAGCAGGGGGGATTGGGAGCCCGGACTCCTGGGTTCTCTGTCCGGCTCTAGGAGACGGCTGGGTGTGGTGGGGGGACTGACCGCCCGGACTCCTGGGTTCTCTCTCCGGCTCCGGGTGGGGGTTGGGCTGTGGTGTGTGGGAGTAGGGGGACTGGGAGCCCGGACTCCTGGGTTCTCTGCCAGGTTCTAGGAGAGGGCTGGGTGTGGTGGGTTGGAGCAGGGGTGTGCTGGGAGCCCGGACTCCTGGGTTCTCTCCCTGGCTCTGGGTGGGGGCTCGGCTGTGGTGGGTGGGAGCAGGGCGGGTTTGGATCCCGGACTCCTGGGTTCTCTCCCTGGGTGTGGCGGGTCGGAGCAGGCCTGGCTGGGAGCTGGGAAGTTGAGGAAGCAGAAGGGCCCCCCCGAGGAGCTGTGGAAGGAGCCAGATTTATTATTTATGGGCCTAGGGGACAAATCCGCCCCAAACAACATCCTGGTGGCCGCTTTGGGGGCGGGTGGGGGCAGGAAGGACCTGGAGCAGCTGCCTGGGGGAGAGATTACAAGGCCTGGGAGCTGGGCTGGGACAGTCTGGGGGGAGAAGAGGGGGGACCCTCCCCAAGGTCTACTGGATTTCCCTGCTGCGAACATGTGCAGGGGGCGGGTGGGGGGGATGAGTTATTCCTTCGCTCCCTGGGCTGTTCCAAGCCTGTTTTCTCTGCTGGGGGGCGGGGGGGCGGATTCATCTGTCCTGGGTCTGGGGTGTCCCTCTGCATGCCTGGGGGAGGGCGGGGCCCTGGAAGTTTGTGTTGTCTCGGGTTGCGGCTGGGTGAAAGCAGATTGGGTTGTGTGTGTGTGTATGGGGTTCTGGGTGTGTCTCCAGGGCCCAGCGCAGTTGTGTGTGTGCGTCTCTCTCTTCCCTGGGTTGTGTGCGTGGAGGCCTTGTGAGGTGCGGGGGGGTGTACGGCTGGCAGGGGGGGGGGTGTGTCTCGCGGGCGGGGTGTGGGGGGGGGGTGTGGGGCCGGGTGTGTCTCCGGGGGGGGGGGGTGTTTTCTCCTCCACCGCCCCGCCTTCTCCCCTCCGGATACACAGTTAAAAGGAACCAGCTGTTGCATATTTTTGCCCTGAGCGAATCTGGGCCCAGCCCCTGCCCGGCTCCCCAGGCCCTGGGTGGGGGCAGGCGGGGAACGGGCCGGGGAGATCGGGGTGGGGGGGGGGCAGGGAACCAGTGCCATTGACAGGATCCTGCCCCCTCCATACACAGGGCATATGGGACAATTAGCCCCCCGACTACTGATTATTAATTAAGGCTGGTCTCAGAGGAGAGATGGGGGGCCCCCATTGTGCCAGGTGCTGCACAGACCCCCCCCGGACATTGGGGTCCCTGTTGTGCCGGACACCACCCAGACCCGCCCCCCCACATCGGGCATCACGCTGCCCTACCCCCGTCACACTGGGCGCTGCTCCCTGCCCCCACTGAGACCGCAATTTACATTAGAACCCAGGAGTCCTGGCTCCAGGCCCCCCCCCCCGCTCTGACCACCAGACCCCACTCCCCTCCCAGAGCTGGGGAGAGAACCCAGGAGTCCTGGCTCCCAGCCCCCTTTTCCTCCCCACCCCCACCTCTGGACTCCTGAGTTCTCTTTCCAGCTGGACATGGGCCCCATTGTGTGTTGGCGGCACAAACAAGTCACAGCCAGTCCCTGTCCTGAAGATAAGACAGACCCGAGGGTGGGGGGGTGAAACAGAGACTCGGGGACAGGAGAGATTTGCAGAAGGGCCTGGAATAGAACCGAGGAGTCCTGGCTCCCAGCCCTCCTGCTCTAACCACCAGACCCCACTCCCCCACAACCAGCCCCCCACAACCACCAGATCCGACTCCCCTTCCAGAGCCGGGGAGAGAACCCAGGAATCCGGGCTCCCAGCCCCCCCTGCTCTAACTACCAGACACCACTCCCCTCCCAGAGCCGGGGAGAGAACCCAGGATACTACCGAGATGTTTGATCTGGGCTCAAAGCTCTCACGGGGACAGAGTCCAGTAGGGTGCTTGGGGTGTGAGTTACCCGGGGGGGAGGTAGCATTTGGGGGGACTGGTGGCGGATAGAGATTTGGGGCACAGGAAAGATGGTTTATGTGACTTCCAAGGGGATGAGTTTTTGGGGTCCCTGTTAGCATGGGACTGACTCTGGGGTGACCTGGGGGCAGATTTTTGGTGTGCGCAGAATTCCAGCTGATTTGTGTGTCTCTTTGTCATGGACAGTTTGGGGAGACAGATTTTTAGGGTGACTCTGAGCCCTGTTTCGGGGGGGGTCCCGTTCATGAGCAACAGAACTCAGAGCAGATCTTTGGGGTACGACTTGGCAGAGGGGTGTATTTCTGAGTTTAATGGGGACAGATTTGGGGGGTATTAGTGGGGGACAGGACTCGGGATGGATCTGGAGGGTGACGTTCATTGGGACAGATTTGGGGGCTTGTGCGCCAGGCAGGGACTACGAGGTGACTGAAGAAAACAGACGTGTGTGCCCTGCATTATTGAGGGGCCGAATTCAGACTGACTTTGGAGGAGCCGGGTTTCGGGGAGACAAACCCCCTCAGTGTTTTTTCGAGGGGACGGATGGAGCCGAGAAAACCGACCCGACCCTAACCGCGCGCGTCTCTCTCTCCTCATAGGTCCTGGTGGATCGACTCTCGTTTGTGTGGACGCAATAAATAGCGTTTTTTCTCCCCAAATTCCTGGAAAGGGGGAGGGAATTTTTATTTTTATACTGTCTGGAGCAAGCGAGATTTACAAAGAGGCAAAGAATTTCCCCTGGCGTCAGGGACTCTGGGATGAAGATTGTTTGAGCAGAGAACGTGATAGAACCCAGGTGTCCTGATTCCCAGCTCCCCCCCCCGCTCCAACCCACTCCCCTCGCTCCGGATTTGATCCGCGGCTTGGCAGTCGGATTTAACCGAGGAAGAAACCGCATCGATCTGGTGCTGGAGGAAACGAATTCCTTCCAAAGGGAAGTTGACTGACCAATGTGCCCGGGAGGAAGTTAACGGGGGAATTGGCTCTCGGAAGAAATGGATCAACGCGGTGCCGAGCGGGGGCACTGAGCTGAGGAGAAATTGCGTGGCTGATTGCTTGCTTGGGTCGTTAATGCTAAGGAGCGATCGATTGGGGTAATGGATCAGCTGGTGGGAGAAGCAGTCCCCAGGGGAAATTGATTGGCCGGTGGCCATAGGTCAGGAAGAGAGAAGGGGGAAGAAATTGATCGGAGATCTGGGGCTGGAGACGCTCTCGATTGGATAATCGGGGCTTGCCAGGAAGCAGAACGGATTGGGGGAGGGATGCGATATTGACCGAAAGATGGATGGAATTGATCAGCTGATTGGGGAGTTGGTGCCCAGGGCGTGAAATTGATCAGAGGAAACTGACTCATTGAGTGGGAAACTGGTCGGTTTCAGGGAGAACGGGAACGCTGCTCCGAGGGATCTGCCTTTGGTCGAGTGATCGGGAGTCGTTGATCGGCCGGTGAGAGGAGAGATCCGCTGGCCGATCGGAGACCCGTGCGGGGAGACAAGTGAGCCGAGTTTCTCTTGCCCTCCGCGGGGATCGATCGGTCTCTGCGCCTGGCGTGGAGATTGCCCCGCTTGGGGCAGGGGCGAGCTCCCAGCCATGGCCAGTCCCTCCTTCTTCGGCAGATACACCCACGCCATCGTCCGCAGTGTCCCGGACTCGCTGGGCGCCCAGCCCGCCGGGGACGGGGCGGGCCCGGCAGAGCCGGTGGACCTGGCCAAGGCGCACCGGCAGTACGGGGTCTACACCGGGATCCTGCGGCAGAAGCTGGGCCTGCAGGTGATCGAGTTGGTGGCCGATGAGGGACTGCCCCGCTCCGTACTGGTGGAGGACGCGGCCGTGATCCAGGGCGATACGGCGCTTGTCACCCGGCCCTGGGAGCCGGCGCGGCGGGGAGAGGTAACCAGGATGCCTGGGTTCCTTCCCTGGCTCTGGGAGGGGAGTGGGGGCTGGTGGTTAGAGCAGGGGGCGGGCTGGGAGCCAGGACTCCTGGGTTCTCTCCCCAGCTCTGGGAGGGGAGTGGGGGCTGGTGGTTAGAGCAGGGGGGCTGGGAGCCAGGACTCCTGGGTTCTCTCCCCAGCTCTGGGAGGGGAGCAGGGTCTAGCAGTGCCAGTGCTCCGTTCGTTAAGCCATCAGTTATTGTAGCAGGGTTGGGGAGGAGGCTAATTCTCCATCTGCTTCCTCCAGGGAGACCCTGGGACTAGTCCTTCCCTCCCTGCCCCCCCCCAGAGGAGAGTTGGCCACCTGACCCTAGTTACCGAGGCAACTGCTCATCCCAGCATGACCTCATCGGTGATGCAAACCCCTCCCTTATGCCTCCTGAGACCTTTTGGGAACCCTCCCCCCCCCCCCCCCCCCCCCCCCCCCCCGCCCCCGCCCCGGGGCCGGGGGGAGCCGGCGCCCCCTAGAGGGAACAGGCCCCGTGTCCCATTCCCTGCCCCCCTGAGCCAGCCAGTCCCTGCCCTGGGGCCGGGTGGGAGCCAGCGCCCCCTACCTTTTGATTCTGATGAACAGCTCTTAGGCTGGGATCGGTGTGGACCTTGTTGGCTGAAGACCCACGTTAACATAATTTGTTATCAATTTGTTCTCAGCCACGCTAACGACCCTTTACCAGAAACACAGGGGGTGTGTGTTGGGAGAGCTCCTGGCTACTCCAGCCCTGGCCTCTCCCAGCAGGGGGCGCTGTGGGGAGCGGGGCAGGGGGAGTGGTGGTGGTGGTGGGGGAGCTCCTGGCTACTCCAGTCCCGGGCTCTGTTCCCTGAATTCCCGGCTGGATAAACCCCGGCTCAGCTCTGTCTATTTTCGGAGAAGCCCCAGGGAGGTTTCTCCAAACACGGCCCAGACCCAGGGGCTTTCCCGGCATGTTCTCCCCGCCCCCCCACCGTCCCCTTTGTGTCCCCGTCTCTTGGGTTCCCTCCGACCCTGGCTGAGCGAGTTGCTGGGGGGTGGGGGGCGGTTGCGCCCCCCCCGGTGGCAATAACGTGCAAAGCGGCTGGATGGGCTGCCGAGGACTCGAGGGCCATGTTTTCTTTAGCTCGTCGCAGCGGACGAGGCAGCGAGCTGGCGAAATGTGACGGCAGTGGCTGGAGCAGCTCCTAGTCCATGGGACGGCGGGGGCTGATTTTCCCTGGGCCCTGTGGAAGTCCTCTAGAGGGGACAGGCCCCTGCCCCATTCCCTGCCCCCCTGAGCAGCCAGTCCCTGCCCTGGGGCCGAATGGGAGCAGGCGCCCCCTAGAGGGGGAAAAGCCCAATGTCCCATTTCCCACCCTCCTGAGCCCAGCCCGTGTTGCTGAACCTTGCCTGGTAGTAGCAACTCTGGAGGCGCGAGCTGAATGCCACGGGATGAGGGCGCACGTGGGCGGGGTAGGTCGGGGACGTGGAAGAGGGGATGTTGACTTTCTGAACCCCCACAATCTCTGATTGGTGTTGGGTGTAGGCCACTGAAGCCTGCCTAGAAGTAGTGAAGTTTGAGGCCTCGGTTGGGAGCCGTGAGGTGGGGTCAAAGGGCCTGCGTCGTTGGGGTAGGGCGAGCGTGTCAGCTGGGGTCACCAGGGAGGGGGTGTTGGTAGCCATTTCTGGACCTTCACAATCTCTTCTTGATGTTGGGTGTAGGCCGCTGAAGCCTACCTCGTAGTAGTGGTGCCAGAGGCCTAGATTGGGAGCCATTGGATGGGGTCAAAGAGCACATGTTGGCAGGGTTGGTTGGGGAGGACAAGGGTTTCAACTGGGGGGTGCCGGCAAGGGGGTTTTGGTGGCCATTTTGGAACCCTCCCAATCTCTCTCTCTCCTTGAGTGTAGGCCCTGAAATCTGTCTGGTAGTTCGTCTCATGGGGTTGCTAAGGGACGGGCCAGTGGAATGTGGGGAGTGTAGGGGAATCCCCTGAAAGAGTTAATCTCTGTTGTTGGGGGTGGGGGCCCGATCCAGATCAGCAGCATCAAGAAGGTCCTGGAGGAGCTGAAGATGCGGGTGGTGGAGGTGATGGATGATGGGGCCACCTTGGATGGCAGCGACGTGCTCTTCACAGGTGAGTGCCCCACCCCTGGCGGCGGGAGGGCAAGTAGCCATGGCGTGTACCCTGGGTGTGAACCAGCAGGGGGCGGTGTGGAGCAAACTATCTTCCTGTAACCCCCTAGTCCTCGTTCATTTCCCGGAGCTGGGGATAGAACCCAGGAGTCCTGGCTCCCTGCCGCGCCCCGCTCCTGCCTTCATTTAAAAGGCATTGAACAATTCCCGACTGCACTGGGAGGTTGGTTTGGGGGGGGGGCAAGGGGAGGTGGGGCTGATGGGGCACCCGGGGGGCCAGCTCCAGCTTGGGTGCATCTGAGTGAAGCCAAAGCAACGGGAGCGAATTTGGCCTTGCATCTTGAGGGTTAATGAGTCTTGTCCTGCCCCTTCCTGTCTCCTTACAGGTCGAGAGTTCTTTGTGGGCATCTCCAAATGGACCAATCACCGAGGGGCGGAGGCGGTGGCGGATGCTTTTCGGGTGAGCTGGAATTTTGGCAGGGTCAGGGATAGAACCCAGGCGTCCTGGCTCCCACCCCCCAACTCTCCCTTTTCCCAGGGCTGCGGGTCGGGAGTGAGGGGCACCGGCAGAGCTGGGGGGAGGGGCTGGGCTAGCAGGGGGCTGCGGGTTGGGACTGAGGGGCACCGGCAGAGCTGGGGGTGGGGGCAGGGCTGGGCTGGCGGGAGCTGCAGGTCGGGACTGAGGGGCACCGGCAGAGCTGGGGGGTGGGCGCAGGGCTGGGCTAGCAGGGGCTGCAGGTCGGGACTGAGGGGCACCGGCAGAGCTGGGGTCCAGGCATGTTTTTTTTCTCACCCTTCCCCGGGTGCCAGGATTTTGCTGTCTCTACGGTCCCCGTGGCGGGCTCCTCCCATCTGAAGAGTTTCTGTAGCATGGCTGGGCCGGACACAGTCGCCATCGGAAGCAGTGAGGCTGCCAAGAAAGCCATGAGGGTAACGGGGCCTATACTGGGATGGCTGGGCCCAGGGGGCTGAGCTGTGGTGGCAGCAGTAGGATACCGGGCTGGGTGGGC